CAACCGACAAACTAACGTTTGTTGCCATAAATTATGTGCTAATAAATATTTGATCGGGTACAACTTCGTCAGTTCGTACAGTCAAACGAAATGTCAATAGGGTTTTTTTGACCTTGGAAGCTTTATTTTGGTAGCAACAAGGTTGGATTTTGGGGTGAAGGATAAGGTGTGGCGACTGTACGCTGTAGGAAACTAAGCGACATGGATATAAAAATATTTGCCTACCCAGAAAGGGACATTCGGTCAGTTTTTGACTACTTTAACATAACAATATGCTCCCAACAATGCCAATATAAGTAAATAAGTATAATCTTAACATATTACCCCGTAAAAAAGTCAGCCCTGACCTAAATTATATTTTTGCTATCTGCAAAGTCAATGCAAATATTTCCACAAGGAAATACAAAAAAATCTCTTACCTTTATGTGGTACTAAACTACATAAAGTCTCTTAAAAACGGGCAACAAGCACACAAACAATTTGTTAAATTCAATTCTTAGACGACAAAAACATCCGGCCATCTTGCAAAGGAACTCCAAGACAAAGCTGATGGACCTCTTTGACGTTTATCTTAAAAGCAATACAATCTTTATCTTTACGGTACGAAGTTTCAATTTCAATTGTTAAGGTATCTCACAATCTTATCTGTCTATCATGCTCGCTCCAAAACTCTTATTAGAACAAGATAAAGTCTAATTTCGCTTAAACAACTTATCCAATGATCTTTGCATTATCCAGAAACCGCTCAGCAAATTCGAAAGATTCAAATTCAGAATCCGCTAAAACGTGTTCCGTTCTATTCAGCCAGCAACGTTGACGTTCAGCACGCACCATACGTTCCAAAAAGTATTTATTCCTTAAATCTAAACCTTATTTCTAGGAGAAGTTGTCATTTAAAAAGTATATTGGCGAGTAACTTGAAGTTTGTGCATTGAGTAAGAAACTTTTTTGTTTGACGACCCCACGTTTCGCGAGTCGAGACGTGCATTCGATATTAAAAAATGCTTCAGAAAAATCTTTAAATTCAATAGTAATTTGGTGTTGAATAGGTAGGGAGAGGATAATGTAAGTACGCCCTGTTTTTGCGGTGTTGTATTTAGTACGCGAATTTCTCGACTTGCATTGTGTACACACTGGTTTCTTGCCCAGCATGAGTCTGTCACAGTGCGTGGATATGAATGGACCGACCGAGTTTCTAATTACACAGTCAATTTGGTAAGTAAAGCGGGAAACATGAGTTATTGCCCTGGCCCGTAACCGAGATGAAATCAGCCATATTTAATATGCGACAATAGATTGAAAATTTTTGTGTTTAACTTAGCATAATAATGCGCGTATATGATTGTATTTTTAAGCGATTAGTTTGTGATTAGCTTTTAATGAAAGTTTGCAGTTCAAGGGCGTGCCCTTTTACAAATTAACGAATCATTTGTTTTGCAAATTATGTCTGAAGGAATTTAGCACGTGGGTTTGAAGTTTGCATAATTTAGAATTGAAATTATAACTGCCATTGCTATAACATTAAATGAAGCGTTTAAATAGATGTTAAGATATTCATTGGCAGTTATTTCTAGTCACAAAAAGTCCACATTAGCAGAGCACAAACGAATCAAATACGATGATACGATTCCTGGCAACTGGCAGTTAAAATTTACAGCACTCGGAATTTTATAACGAACATTCCAATATCACGGAAGAAAACCATAACGTGGCTTCATCAATAAGAGATCAAGCCAATTAAAGTATTTCTGGACGCTATAATCGATTAGTATCGGTTATAACTTTCACTAGTTTTTGCAATATTATATAACGAATCTCAGGAAAATAAAAATGGTTGATGCTTAGCTCGTGCTGCGTGCGGCAGAACGGATTGGTGGCACATTCCGAATTACTGACGCCATGATATGCCACAAGCTAGTTCTAACCGTGTGATGTACCGTATTGATGGTGCAATTTTATCACCTCATACCTACCAGTAAAACGTGGCATTAAAAGCAACCGCTGTGTAGATCGAACATATACGAGAAGCTCTGATCTGACGAAAGATTTCCAAATATGTTCAACATTTAGGTTTTTCATTTTCCAAATTCCACTCGCTGTTTGCTTCCCTAACTTTTTATAGCGAATTAAGAATATTTTTTATTGAATACCAAGGATGAATGCCTATAAGTGTTTAAGATTATTTTTAATTTCTTTACCGATTGAATTAGCGAGAACTCTGAGCCTATCCCACGTCCATCGATAGCCCTAATCTTAGCCTTATTTCATCTTTATTTGAATTGAATTCTTCACTTTTATTAATTTTTATTAGTGTATGGATATTCGGACATCGCCTCGTCTTTGTCATTATTATCAGTTCCCCTTCACCAGAAATCCTTTTGACTGGAAGCATCTGTATATATGTAGATGGCTATGTAAGTACGCGTAACGACTTTCTTATGGGATGAGACTAATGTGGGGTAGACTGGACTATACATTATGTGTTCGGATTTCAAAATCTGGATTTGTAACGAAAGAGTCTTCTTTGTGTTCCTTTTTTAAATACATAAAGTAAAGATTTTTTTTATAACTCGCCCTCCATATCTCCAGTACTAAGTTTAGAAATACAATTTAAATTCGATACGAATAATTTGGAACTTTTTGGAAAATTTAAGTTAGATTCTTTCGTAACACACTTTGGAGCTACTTAGACAAACTGAAAAAATAAATAGTAATTATTATCATTAAAAGCTAATCACAAACTAATCGCTTAAAAATACAATCCTATACGGGCATTATTATGCTAAGTCAAATAAAAAATGAATAACAAAACTTCTAGTTTCCGACAATTTTGTTGTCAAAATAATACAAATCTAAACGATGATTTCTATAAATCAAAAGTTAATACATACCTACCGTCTCTTTACTAAAGCCACATATTCGACGTACTTGCAATTTAAGAAGAAACATCGCTAACATTACCGATTCCTCCTACAATTACGACCGAACATAACACCCGAGTTATGAGTTTAAAATAGCCGTGAAACATCGTAGAACCGAACGTTACTGTAATCTGTTTTACGTAGGAAACGAGCTCAACGATGTTCTGAGGAATGGAGGAAATCTGCTTATGTATAGACAATAATGTAACTTTCTATTCCAATATAGGTAACGCTACGAGAAAGTCACGTCAATTCTAAAAATAACGTTTAGTCACCATTTGTTATTATATAAAACAGGACTTCTGTTTTGACACAAAACCCTAAAAAAACTGGTATTTCTCGCTATAGGTTTTATATTTTATGTATATTTTTCATTATTTTGTGGACTAATATTTGCTTGTCTGTTAGATATCTAAAGCAAAAAGATCTATATTCGTATTTTTAAACTCTGGTCATTATGAATGCACCATAAAATTGTTCAGCAAACAAAACGATATGATTTGATTAAGATACTATAATAGTGCAAATGTTTATAAGTTCCATTGTAATAAGATTTGAAAGTTGTACCAGAGATCTAACAAAGTTCCAAATTATAATAATGTTCATTTTGAAAATTTTGCTACACTAAGAACTCATGTCCTTGACACAACTTGGTCAATGAAACTGCCAAAAATATAAAAGCAACTATCAAGATTTGCAATCTTCACATAGATCAATTACATCAAGTTCTTTTTTTAAAATGCGAACTTTAAATGTATTGGCATGTTATGAGTAATTTTATTTTAAAGTAAAACCATTTTTTTGGTGTCGCGTATTGTATTCTTTTAAAAGCTTTCAGTTCCTGAGATATTGATCTTAAGAAGAGCTGAGATGACCAGGGGTCAAGACCAGTTTCAGCAAAACGTACTCTCGAGTACAATGCGCGAATATTCAGTTTTGCATTTTAAAATTATTATTGTTATTTAAGAGTTGAGTAATGGGTATAGAATGTCACGCCTTTCCCCCTCAAGTGTTTGGCAAAAAGCTTTTAGCCTGTTACGTGCTTAAAGAATGAACTTAAAGGAATTCCCATCAAGAGTGAGAAAAAAATGTCTGTAAAGAAAGATAATGACAATAGAAATATAACCGTCTCACATAAGAAAATTAATTCAGAAAATCAATATTGACAAAACAATGAATCTTGATTAATTTCAATTTGTAGCCATAGAGCTACGAATAGAAAGATGGACAATTTAACAGGGTTGAAAATGATGACTGAAATCTCACCCATGCACTATCATCATCATCATCATCAACAGCCTGTAAGTGCCCACTGCTGAGCAAAGGCCTCTTCTCATACGAAAAGGTTAGAGCATTAATTACCACGCTTGCTCACTGCGGGTTGGCGATTTCAAACTTATAATTAGAAATTATAAGTCCAGGTTTCCTCACGATGTTTATCTTCACCGTATGTTAGAGGTGTCTAAATAATCTACTACTTTCAAAACATACAATTGTCATATTTTGGTTGCCAATAAATTGGTTAAGTACTGATAACAGAAGGTGACTTCAAACCAAACAGTATTATTTATTAACCTACGCACACTACGTTGTTAACCATTATAGTAAGCACCAGCTATGAGATTTGGAAAATCACTAACTTGGCATCAAAGAGACCCTCACCAATATTCCTAAGAAATGCCAGTCTTAAGGAGCTCATCTCTACATAGTAAAACAAGAGCCGTTGCTTCCAATCAGTCAATGTTTGTTCCATACATTATACATGTGAATACATAATCGCTCATTGCTTACGTGAACCGAGCACTGACATCTGTCATACATGACTAATGGGAACAACTTCGTAATAATTGCTTTCAGTCATTAGTTACTTTTGTTTAGTAGAATGCCTCGTTTCAGGTAGGATTTAGAATTAGGTACAATTAGTTGCCAAAATTGAGCGTCAACAAAGTTTCTAAGTTTTGAGCTAACAGAACAATAAAATATATATACCTTTTCAAAATTAAAATGCAAACATAACTTGTAGTGTTCAATATTATATCAAAAAACTCACAACTTATAAAACAATTTCTGTCATTTCAGATTCAAAATGCTGAAGTGGGCGGTTTACGGTAAAAAGAACCAAGAAATCCGGATCGCTAACGACCTTGAGAGTGAGGACTGCGATCATTATACCGATGAACCTTACAATAACAATAAAATCAGAAGATCTCTCGATGGACAAACTGTCAAAAGAAGCAAGAAGCCAAGTAGATACCAGCGGAGATCCTTAGGCTCAGCTGCAGTAAGAAAAAACATAAGAACTGTAGACAAAGAAAATGTTAACTATATTGGGAATACGCCTAATTATTTTAGAGAAGGTTTCATTAAAAAGCCAGAAGGTTTAGTCCTCAAAGATGTCAGCAACATCACACCAACAGGTACTCCAGTCAAAAGTTATGAAAGAAGAAAATATTATCTAAATAACTCAAAAGATGATATACCACCAGATTTACCCCCCACTCCACCAACTTACAGCAGGAGGGTAAGAGAAGCAAAGAAAAGAAAACTAGAAATGGCTAGTGCAAATGATATATTTAGAAGAGATAGCTGTGTATATAAATCTGAGAGACGAATCAAGCCTATAGATAGAAATTCTTTTAGTCCTAAACTAAGTCATAGTACGTCTGAGCCTTCCTTAACCGATCTATCTGATAGACTCAGTGCTACAACTACGAGTAGTAGGAACTCATTTGCATTAGGAAAACCAACAAAACTACCAGTATGTACCACCAAAACAGGTAATGAAGGCTTAGTTGAAATAGAATACGATCAAGATCTAGTAATTAACTGTATAGAAAAACCTATTACAATTAACAAATGTACTATAGAGAAAACCACTTTACCTATATTTGGACATCATATTTTTACAGACAATCCCTTATATTTCAACAATAATGATATCGGTTTAACAAATATTAGACCTTTGAAAAGAACGAGAAAGAAATCTAATGAATTTGAAAGCTCCTTCAAATCTCCCTCCGTTGACAAAAAGGATACACATACGCTAGTAAGAGACGGGTGCTCACCTGTCTCTATCACTCCTCTATCCACAAAACTGGCTGCATTAAGGTTTAGTACCATGAGTGTACATAGCAAGTCTCAAAGGGTTGTTTTTACAAATGATGTCACGGAATACTTTCCTAAGGTGGAGAATCCTTTTACTATTCCTCTAAGAGATGAAGAAAGTTCAACAGAAATGGAGAATAAATTCATTCTTGGCAAAGATTCCACAACAAATAATACAGACTCAACAGTATCTACAACACAAATGGGAGATGTTACACTAGAGAAAATGATTGAAGACATCATAAAAAGTACCAAAATAGTCAAATCTAAAAGAAGAATTTTGGCAAAAGCACCAGAAGTCGATATTCAAGAAGAAATCCCTCCACTTGATACAGTCAAAGACCTGTTTGTAAATCCTCAAGCTGAGAACAAAGCTAATTTAATTAAAGAAGCTAAATATGTGAATTTATCTAGAGAAAACTCTGTATCACCTAAAACTACGCCCATCAAGAAAATGCCAGTACATAGGGTAAATGATAAATTATTGAAAAATCTTCCGATAGGCTGCTTCATATTAGATGATGGAGATGGTTACAATGAAAGGGAGGTTCGGACACCAGACAATGCTATTGACGTCAAACGTAAAGCCAGTCCAAGAAAACGTGCAACAAATCTGAACCGATCACAGTCCATGAATCTTTGTTATGAACGAGGAAATCTCGGATACATTTCGTCAGAATCTACACCTGACCTATACTCAGCTGCGGAAGAGAGAGCGAGTCTTAGGCTCAAACGTCAAAAATGTATTCGTAGGAAAAAGTCGACAGCAAGCAATGAAAGTCAATGGAAAAATAAGGATCTGAAATCTTCTATTCTTACACTTGAAATTGGCATACCAAGTCTTGCTACTGAACTTCCCGACACGTCATTATGTGAGCCATTAAGTCCTCCACTATCTAATCCGCTCGACACTGACGATTATCAGAACCTCTCAATAAAATCTAACGTATCACATAGTAGTTTGATGCCTTACGATAATTCTCACAATAAAAAATCAAGAGAACTATTCGGTTTAACTTTGGAACATGGTATCCCAAGTCCAATCACTCCCGTCCCTAACCTAAAAAGGCCGGGTAAAGTACTAAGCGAAGAAAGAGCGCATAAAACGAGTAAATTGGATGAAGATTTACTTCCAACGGATGCTTACACTCCAGTCATTGAACACAAATCTATTCGGAGATGTTTGACATATTCCCCAGAAGAGAATAGCATAAGTAGTAGTGAAGAGAAAAGGAGAAGCGTCGCAAGTAATCGCTTGGAGCGTTCAAGCGAACGGTTTCAAGCATTAAAAGGCACAATAGACCTGGAAATTAGAACAAGAAATGATGTAATAGACGTGCACGGTGAGTGGTGACTATCAACCCCCATTTACATCTCCTACTATTATGATGGTTGCCATTTGTGCAGCATTTGATAACCCTTTTTATGTTCACAGTTATAAGATGCCGGGACCTACAAAGGACTACAGGGAAAACGGATGACATCAATGCTTATGCGAAGGTTGGTTGTAAATTATTTTATGACTTCGCTTACTGAGGGAGAGCTGTCTTTAAATCGTTTTCTGTTTTAATCCTTATTGGCAATGGAAATGCGAATGGCGCGGCAAAGTGTTTGTGGATTGTGCCTCTTTGATTACTCTTATTTGTGATAGGCGTATTAGATCAACTTAAGCTTTTCTCCATAAGATCTTTATGTCACTTAAATGGTCTTAAAACATAGCCCTTATTGTGAGTCATATGTTATTCTCTCATCAGGTCGTTATCAGCGGCGTAACAGAGAGTCAGTCCCTCCCATCACAGAGGTCAATCTTCCAGAGGACCTCAGTGCTGTATGGCAAGCGGGAGCCAGAGTTTCAAAGACACCTGAAGCTGCCTCTACCAACAGCAATCTACGACCATCAGATGTTACACATTTCTGTATGGCACAGAGACAAGAAATACCGGTAAGTTTCATTTTAGAAGGAAGATTTAACTGATTTGCGTCAAAAAGGATTTTTTATCATTACTGGTCGTAAGAAATCACTATGAAATGTAATGTACGCAATGGACTAACGTTCACAGAAACAAGATCAAAATATTTACCACTATCACAATCTGAACCTTCTTAACAAAAAGAAACATTTTGAATTAAGAATTGAGAACTCTGTAATTTATGATATGGACAAAAATTCACAATGTAATAGTTCGGAGTGACGTAATTTCAATCGTTCCATAATATCTTCAAACCAAACCAAATTTTGCAGCATTTCGAAAGGTAAGTTACAAAATATTTTAGTTCGTTTTAACACATTCATTGCCCCCGACGCGTATGTGCGTGCGAGGAAACGCACATACGCGTCGGGGGCACTGAATGTGTTAAAAGGTTATTTTGCTATTTGAAAATCAAGTTGAGGAAACAGGGGTAACATAGATCAGATACCGAAACAAAAAAAAATTGTAATATTTGGCAAAAATATTCTTCCTATATGTAATACTTATTTCTTATTCTGACAAAAATAATATATTAAAGAAAATCCTAAACAATTTGATCATAGGTTCTAATTTATCGGCAAGGAATAATCCTTTGGAAGCTAAGGCTTATGGCGGTAAAACAGATTTATTGTTTCACGTATAATTAAATAAACGATTCAAGCCTTAATATTTTAAGTAATATTGATTCACTGCCCCAATTTTGTAGCTAAATTAAATACTAGAAACACGTTTGAAAGACCGAATATCATTTTGAAAGCTTTCAATTTCATAAAATTAATGTCAGAAACGAAGTACCATTTTGGAAATGTAACCCTATTTGCGATAATGGGCCTTCCCATCCCATCTATAGTTATTTTTAGGTAAACATTATGAAACGCTGTCTATTTTCATGATCGTGTATAACCGAACACGATGACGCATGTACAGACCGAGGGCCTACTTCTATAATTAAGTAATTCACTCACCCATATACATAAATGAGTTTGTACATACACGATACTGTTATTACGTAAGTTTTTTTCCGAAGCTGCCTACGAATGTTTTATTAATATGTATCATTTCCAAGTTAATCGCATTTCATTATGGATAAAACAGAGCCCTGCCTGAATTTTGTATCGGGCGAGCCCGCTTAACACAGTCCCATGCACGAAACGACGGTTTCAATGTTTAATTCACGGAATATGATATTAGTTGGACCTACCTTGTATACTTTTATCATGATTATGTAATGGAATGTTATGGTTTGGCTTCGTTCCGTGTTCAAAAACGGGTAGATGTTAAATTGATTATGTTACAGTACTTGCTTATTTAATTCGATTTTTATTGACGTAGCTGCATTATAAGCAGGATTTACAACATAGCTAATAAACACCATGGCTTTTTTCGTCCATTTATAATTCATAATTAACTATCTTTGATAGGACAATCCTATAATTATGTAGTAGATAATTCGGTTGTAGATAATTCTGACCTCCTGAATCTTAACGATTAATTTTCTATTATCTAATATTATTAGTAGTAATAGTAATAGTTGTCTATTATACATTTGTATACCTTTTAATATAAAAAATAAATGTACTCGTCGATAGCATAAAAAAATTGTTTTGAAATTTTCCACATTTTTCTGTTTAAATTCTGACGAGGAGCTTCGTTAATTTTAGTGTAACATTTTAACTATATCTGCCCCCTAATTGTTCCGTAACGCTTATGACTGTAGGTATACTAGTCTATAAAATTTGACTATTTGATATTTCAGTATATAAGGTGGTTTTAGTCGGTTGTAGCAAAATAAATGTGATTTTTGTGAGTAGAATACATCAAAATAACACATTTTTTCCAACCTAAACAGTATTAATGTTTATTATAAGTCTGTATTTCAACTAGGCTTCCAAAAGCACCTTAATTTTACGTAAATTGAACCTTTAATAAAATGTAGAATAATGGAATATTATAAAACTTCTGAAACAAGGCTCATTGTCTTTCATTACCAAGTTTAAAAGGACAAAATTTAATAGCGATTAGGTTCTAACTCATACTAACTCAATAACTTAGTTAGACTTCAATCTTAAGAGACGCAGAACTGATTATATCATCAAAGGCGCCTTTTGGAAGTCAAATTATAATAAAAGCCACTATTCCTATGTACAAAACTAGATATAACAATTATTATTACAAGAAGCGCTTATAAAAAAACTTAAATAACATTAGGCAGAATGACAATACCCTTGCCAATTTTCTCGTTATTTTTCTCGCGTTTCCAAAATGTATTAGACTGGTCGCGACCAATATCATAGCGACGGTTACAGAAAAAAAAAATAGCTGAAAAGCGAACACTTTGTCAAGTCGAGTCGACACGTGACACGAATAACATATTTCGGCTGTCGACTTTCGTCTTCGTTTAGACAGAGGCGGACCGACATTTCAAAAAACGAAAATAACATTGCAGGGTATGTTAAAGTACGAGTGCTATATTCACTTTTTCCTCCTGTGTAGCACTTTCATACATAAGATATTGGGGAGTTGAAGTGACGCTGGCTCGACTGGACCTGCGCACAACGATCGATTGCCCAACGACGCAGACCCGGGCAGTTGCGTTGCCGACTCTAGACGGACAGCGGTGCCGTTTTTGCCGCGTCTACCCTCTAAAATACGCATAGATTTTTAAGTGCCGTGCTGTGAAGTGACAGTGTTCGTTTAATATTATTTAAAAAGTGGATTGAATTTGTCAAGGGTAAGGTTATTTTTTTATTTTCCTTTTTTTTTCATTAAAATGTACATTATCGTGTCTATGCTCGATTTATTTGTCACAGAACCTACATACCTACTTTTTATTAACTGCCCCATTTTTTTTATTGCTATTAACAATTCTGCTTTTTTTTTTTTTGTATTATTCAACGTAGCTAGCAAATTATTGACGTGTACAAAAATCTCTAAAACGGACGATAAATAAATAACAATTTACTTAATTAAATTTTACGGAGCCTTAAATATTTAAACGAAACTATTCTTCATTTTTAAAAACTAAATAATTTTATAACGATATCTATTAATATTAAATTTGAAAAGGAAACAAAAAGCTTATATTTACGTAATTATGATTGCAACATCATTACATACTACAGAATTCATAATTATCATAATTATAATGATATTCATCCCCTCACAGTCGAGGCATCCCCCCGAGTCGTTAGCGGGGATCTGGGTTACAACTACGGGAACTGGCCAGTAGGACAAGCCCAAATGTCATTACCATTTCGTATTTAAGAAAAAAATATCCGTCCATTTTCGAACGCTATGATTCTATTTGTCATAATTTGAATTTTATAAAATCGATGTTCGTTTTTCGGAGTGTATTTGACTTTCGATGTATTTTTAAGTATTTATTTTTTTCGAACTCTTTGTTGTCCTAGTCAATTTAAATAGGCTGCTTTCGGAGAGTCCTGACCCTAGTAGGAGTGGTTCAATGCATAGAGTATGAACTCGTTAACCTCAGCTCGGGCGGTTAGAAGTGTTCTTGTGTAAGAATCATTTTCATTTTATTATAATTCTATGCACTTTGTTAGATTGAGAAGATATTTAATTTTGAAAACGTTTACATTAGAAGCAAACATTTTTTCTGTATTATGACGAGGTTCCTCTATCTATATAGCAAGGCAAAAATGGCGTTTCCCAAGACACTTTCTATTGAGTTCTGCAGCCTAATACCTCCAGCTGATATGGTGGAGCAAGCGCAATACATAATGAATCATGATCCCAGCCCGGAGCTGGAGAAGAAACGGGGTGGTTTTTAGTCAGAAAGAGTCTGACACTCACTCTCGCCCCACCCTGGGCGGGAGAAGTAATTTAATGATATTTTTCCTTAAAGAAAAGCCCATATACCTACCTTACAGGTATTTTATACCACAAATTCCACAACCTTACCTTACGTAAATGGTACTCAACTACAATCACAGTCTAAATACTATATTACCTTAAACATGCAGGTTGAGAGATACCTGTAGCAACTACTACTCACGCCTTCTACAATTACGTTAAAAGTTTCAATATAGGTGTATTATGTCAACACTTTGAACTAAATCTAATTTTAAAACAAAATTTTTTGACTTGGGATCCTAAGTGTCTACAGTTGTATCCTCGTTTGAATAGATACTGTTATTTTTTACCAACCTGCTCATCCAAGGATGGTCTTACAGAATATACTCTATCAGCGATTTGGTATCTATCTGGCCATCTAGAATGTTGCTGTCATGTGTATGCTATCTGCATATCAGCATTCTTGGTATAAGCAGCTTGGTGCAGGTCGTTTGGAACCAGTGTCTTTTTTTAAACAGAGGGGAAAATCTACCATTTATGACTTCTTCTACCCAGGTTGGAGTGAGAGGAAGCGTCAGACTCTTACTGACTAAAAATTACCTCGTTCCTTCTCCTGATGATGATGATCATGATCCGAACTGTGCTACATTATTGAGGTTACACCCGCGACCCTGACTGATAGAGCTGATCCAGAAACCATTATACTCTATGTCGTCGTGACTATGACAATGATAATGATATCTTTGACATATAATACAAACAATTACTTGCCATAGAAATGCTATAACTCGACGAAAAAGAAAGACCAACAGAATACACTTACTTGAATATAATAAGAGTAAAAAAGACAGGAAACTATTTCTATTTCAGTCCAGATCAATAGCGTAATCGTTACGTATTTTGTAATTAATCATAATTAACTAGGTATATTAGGTATGCTGGTACTGAGTTAATGTATATGTTACAATGTTATAACCTGGCAAGCACCAATGTGACTTTTTCCGAGCTATATTATACTTTCTATAATTATTAAGATACCACCGACATACGGTCAAGAAAAACCCCTGTGGGCAACCTGGACTTATGATTTCAAAATTATATGTTTGAAATCGCCAATCCACCTGGAGCACTCGTGGCAATTAATTATCAAATACCTTCT